TTGAAGCTTTTTAGTTTAGCAGTGGCCGAATGGGAGAAATCATTAAACAATTTACTTCAACTTCTATTTCTCTCTATTCAATTAGATGGGAATTTTCGGAAATGTTCTCCTTAGGGAATTATTCTTTGTTGACGATTTATTCAAAAGAAATTTATCCTATTACTAAAAGGGAGGAGGGGAGATCGTCATGTTGAAAGAGGCAACTGGAGATGTTTTATTGACAGATGTTAGTGGAAAAGATTTTTTTTTTTATTTTGTATGCTGTTGGTTCATTGATAGAACTCTATCGATCTTGTTTTCACGTATCTAATTTTTGCTGAATACTGCTAGCTATTCTCCAAGTATAGACTTTATTGCATGAAAAATAATTTTTTCGAAAGTATCTTAATGCTTTCTTCAACAAAGATAACTATTTCAAGCTCCAAATGTGTAATGCGTTCACGAAACGCAAGCCTGGAGAGAGAAAATAATTGAATGAATAATTGTATTGAAGTCTAATGGCATTTTGCAACAGCAGTATAGTGTTACTTGCTTGATCTCTCGAATTAATTCGATAATCCGATGGTGTTAAAGATCTGATATTTAATTTAAGCATTCAATAAGAGAAACTAAAAGATAGTTTCAACGGGGCTAAAAAATAACCACCAAAGAAATTCTCTGTGAGCCAGATTCAAATTCAGAATTCTATTACGAGGTATCACTTGTGCATTAGAAGCACCGAAGGGAAAAGAACATGAAAGCGGATATCGGAAATATTCATTATTACACGCTAAAAATTACTGTAAAATTTTTCAGTAGAGATGCAAACTCTTTCTCTGTATTAAGCATGAAATCAATAAGCTCCCTAACTCATTTATCGAAGCTAGCGACCGTCGAGGTTTTTGAGGAAAGAGCCTATCTATTTCTATTCGTAATGAATGCAGAAACACCATTTCGAAGATTTCAAGACTCCTAAGACTTTCTAAAGACTCCTAAATGTTCTTTCTACCAAAATTTGAAAGACTTATCACCAAGGTCAATAATTTTTAGATTCGGTATTTTCCGTTCTACAAGCGCTATCAACAAGCTGGAAACAGTTGTAGACATAAATTCAAAATTGAAGTATTATAAAATAATTAAGAGTCCTTCGTTTTTGTCCTTCATTTCTAATCGAAAGTCACGTAATCGCCACGTTTATCGCCAAATCCCCAAATTCGATAAATTTCGAACCCCAGAATCTAATATCTCGAATATTTCTCTAGTCTGTTGCTTTAAAATAGGCACTTCAGTATCATTTTCATCTTCCCTAAACTACGATCGTAATGCGTGTTTTCATCACTGATCAGTGTTTTATTTTCTCCATCTCATTTGAGACTATAGTTCAAATTAGAATTCATTTGTGCGCTCTTAACGTAGCAAGACATGCTAAATGGAGGTGAAGCGGAAAACATTTAAGGAACTAGACCATTTGCAGCAGCTGTGATTACCATGGTTACGAGGCAAACCGAAAGGAGAATAATTGCCATGAAGTGCCTATTCTGAAGTAAAGAACTATATAGGTGTTAACAAGTTAAAACCAATGATATTAAAATTCTTTAAATTAACAAATAACAAATAGCCATGCACATAAATGCAAAAGATAAGGTTTAAAATCATCTTCATACATTCACAGTGCTGCATAAATAGAAAACAAATACACAATATCTTAGCCTAAAATCTAAGTAAGTTCAAATTTTTATAACAAAAAGTACAAAAAATTTATAGCAATGCAGTGCAAATATAAATAGCATTTCTGCTAAAGTAGACATCACATTATGTATGCCTTTTTGTAATATGATTTGTAATTCTCTAACGTTTCCTTTGACTAATGAACATATGATTTATACAAATGTGGTTAATAAATTGTGTTTAAGGAAAAATAAACATTAGTTTCATTATGTGTAAATGGATTTTTAATCAAAACCGCATTTGAAAGTTTGTTGTAAAATTAGTCTAGACTACTAAATGATTAAGAGCTTTATTCTGAATAAAATCTTTGCGAGTCCTTTGCAGTTAATATAGTTTTCCTCATATGTAACGCGAAATGGGTGCCACTTTTCTTTAAAAAAGTTCTGCATGAAGGCACCTTTCCCCTTATTCAGACAGTCCTTGCGTATTTCGCCGTAATCTAAATAACCCCTTCCTTTGCTTAAGTGCAAAGGAAGAGATTATTACATTGCACACCGTCACTAGGAGATATGTGTTGAGAATCACTGTTGTAGACACTATGTCTATCATCTTTAGAAGCTGTATATTGTATCTGTACTCTAGCAAAGTAAAAATAGTTATTAAGCTTATAAGTGTATAATTACGATATCTGAATTCGAGCATCACCTACTAGGGAGCAAAAATTATTTTTGAACGAAATATTGCTTCCTATAATATTAGATATATAACTGTATAAAGCACTAATTTGAAATCGTGTATTATTCTCATTTCTCCTACAAGTACCGTGCATAAACTAACTAATTTGGAACTCTCATTTACAAGGAATTCTTCTAAAGATTCGAAAGGTCTTTTGTTAGTTCTCACGAATTATATTTTTGCCGTGTTTACTCGCGTATTTCTCATCTCCCCCCCTTTTTTTTTACCAATTTTATGGTACGAAGATCAAGAGGAGAAAATTATGCGAATAATTTAATTCCTGAAAGACGCAGTTACGGTAAGAATATAGTAAATCAAATATATCCATGGATACACTAGCGGTACTATCACAATATCATTTATTCAAAAGAAACTTACATTGTAATAAGAATATATACTGATATTATCAGCATTACAGAATCTAATAAAATATCTCTATGTATTAATTCAGAATCTATGTATACTTACTTCCCTATGTATACTTACTTACTTATCTCTATGTATACTTACTTCCCTGTACTATGAATCTCGTTCCGATCTTAATGTTGTCCACTACTACTCCATAGGCCTCAAATTATTTAATGCTGGTAGAATTGCTGTCTAGACCGTCTGCTCAGGTTGCAAGTCGTCGGCATCGCCATCGTCCAGTCTGTCTTCCTATATAAGAACATTATATAGTCTCATTTTCTTGAAGCTGTTCACTATTATTGCTCCATCAATCAGAGCCCATTTACGCAAAATCCATCAGCAAATCAATTAGCAAAACGAAGACGATTATTACTTGTATGAATCTATTTTAAAATCTGAGAGAGCTCGCTATTTTAGGCACAGCGCTGGCTTCTTGCGCGGATTTTACCGGCACGACATTTAACTGAGATTTAGCGTTCTGAAGCATACAAACGCCTTCTCTAAGTAAACCACTATAGTGATTCTCAACACATTTGTATTTATGACGCATTACCTTTTTCATTAGATTTTGGCTTCTCGAACTGATAGCTAAGAGATCCAATGTCCATCACCCAGCTAATTCTGTAAAATTAACGCGGAGTTTTGTAGCTTTTAGTAATAAGTAGATTTTTTTTCTAAATAAATCAAATATATATGTCAAGAAACATGTTTTCAGTTCATTCTCATAAAATGTGCTATATTTAAAACATAACATACAAAAAATACCTTACGGATTGTTGATTTCTTGTAATCACAATAAACAGATTTATTAAATGTCAGATCATTTTAGGATACATTTTGTTTATTATATCTGAATGGTTTCTGTTTAAGCTTAATAATAATTGTTTGGATATACGAGGGCAGCTACCTAATTATTCTTTCGTCAGAAGTGAACGAATTTTTTTACAACAAACTTTAAATTAGTACCTGAGTTCATGAGGACAACTTCATAAATGAGAAGTGAATTTCCTAAATCACAGAAGTACACAAGTTCCGTTACCTTCAAAACCACAGAAATACCGATTTTCTTAAAGCTTTTAATGAAAACAAGTTTCAGCTAATTAATGTATAAATAAATTATAACCTTTCTCTCTGATGTGTTCCTGTGTAGGAGGCTTAATTTTTTTTGTATGTAATTTTTGAATATAAGATTAGGACATGACTTAATATCAAAGGACATTTTTTTTTTGAAAAATAACATTTTGTGGAAAGTTTATAAGGTATTTCTCCCACCTTCTTAGCGTGTCTTCGTGGTGTAGTGGTCTGCATGCTGGACGCGTATCCAGAGGTCTGTGGTTCGATTCTCATCGAAGGCGTTATAATTTTTCATGACTTCTGCTTCCAAAAAATACCTAATGTCTCTACAGTGGCGCCTGAACTAAAAGGGTGGTGGATGATGATTCTCCTCACCCAGGATTTGGCGATTGGGTTCCCTAAAACCGCAGTCACTCCCGCCTTCTGAGTGTGTCTTCTTCTTCATGGTGTAGTGGTCTGCATGCAGGGCGCGTATCCAGAGTTCCGTGGTTCGATTCCCGGCGAAGGCGTTGCTCATTTTTAATGACTCCTGCTTCCAAAAAAAGTACCTAATGTCTCTACAAGTTGCGTTTTAACAACTAAGATTTCATAAAAAGTTTATATTTAAGGAACCGCTTTTACACGAACGCTCGCTTGCGTCATAAATTCTAATAAAAATTTATTTTGCATCATCTTCGCAACATTTGTAAAGTTTAATTATCTGTTAAAAATATCAGTTTAATAGATAACAGGAGAAAATTTCTTATCCGTTAAGAGATGTGTGTAATTGCAATTTCAGTTTTCTTTTCTCTGCATTGTGCTTTTTATGACACTGTTCTTTTCTTCATTATTACCTATCAAATTAAAGGAAACATAAAGGTAACTCCATACTTATAAGTGCGGTTGAATACCGTTTGTTTCTCAAAATTATGTGCTCTTGAAAAATTCATAACTAGCTTATTATTTTAATTCAATCGAATTAAATAAATTTAGTTAAAATTCCTCATTCAATCCTTCTAAAACTTTATCACTCAGTTTAATAGATTAAATTTAATTGTAGTAAAATTTGAAGTGTTAAAATTATAAAATTCTGTGAAATATTTTATTTAATTTATAAATTTGTAACCACTTCTTTTTAAAAGTTATACTTGTTTCAGCATAGCTCTTCATACTCATGATGATGTGCTGGCAACTGGACAAGGGACAGGAATTGATTCCAAATCCGAGGTTAAATAGTCTTTTCTTATAAAAACTGTAAATTAACTTAAAAAATTATTTCATCAACTATTTATTGCATTTCGAAGAGAATATAATTATGTATATTCAGCATTTGATTACAAATGAAAGAATGAAACATAAGTGGTTGTGTATTCCGTAAATGGGAAAAGATTTTATGCTGGGTCTTTTTTTTTTTTTTTTTTTTTTTTTTTTTTTTTTTTTAAAAATAAAGCTAACAGATTATACGACTTATTTTAGTGCAACTCCCTTGCATAAACGTTTCCGGTGCAAGAGATACAATTGAAAATGCCATTGTTATTGCAACATTATTTAGAGCACTATTTAATTGTCAAATATTCATGTATTATTTAATAAATTTATTTGCTTAATTATAATACAGATGTATATTCTGCTTAATTAATAAGAAAACATAAGAACCGAATAAACGGTAACATTTTAAATGTGGGATTAAATTTGCCAAATAATAATTTTAGAAGAGGATTTAAAATCTGAATTGCAGGTTTACTAATACATACTTTCAGCAACTTTTACGTAGTATGCAGTTAATAAAACGTTGGAGTACGGAAATTATTTTTCAACTTTAATCACTTAAATTAATCATTTGTCATATTTAATACTGAACACAATATTTATGTACTGTTATATTAGAATATATTAATACACTATTTTGAAAGTTAATTGATCTGTTGACATTAACCCTAAATTTCATATTTTATGTTCATTTCTTCTATTGAAAACATGAAAGTTATTCAAGTAATAACTTAAATTCGATAGTAAAGAAATCCTTGCTTCTCTGTAATGTATCCTCTATGTTAGTTTATAAAATCTGATTTAGATATGTTAGTTTATATAATACTTTAAAATTTTAATTTAGTGTATTTTAAATTTTTAAAGTTTGAAAACAATTGAGTGAATAATTTGTTGAAATTTCAGGCTCAAATTCGTGTATGGAGGGCTGATGATTTGACTACTCTTGCTGTTATTGGGCAAGGGAAGTTAGAGAATGACATCATTGGGGCTGTCTTCTCATGGGAGGTAGGAGAAGCTTTATATTTTTGGAAATATTACGTTATATTTATTTGTACCATTTTTTGTTATATCGTATTATTTCTCATGATACTAAAGTGGCTTGGAATAGTTATTCAAATGTGTAAGTTCTGTAGCTTCGTATTCTACAAAATGCTTAACTGATCAATTAATTAACGGCAAACATTCTCCTTTTCCGTTTGAAAGTGAAAAGTAATAAAATAGTTTTTCTGATAGATTATATTATTAATGCCACCTGTGTAAAGCTGATGGATTTTCAGTCAGTCAGATATGTCAGTCAACATATCGCTACATAGGCAGAAAACCGCGGCCACCTAAAATCATTTCAAGTTTGGAGTAAACTCTTTTAAAATTCTTGTTCTGCCATTGAGGTATCTCTTGTTATTGAAAAATCAAGATCTAAGTTTGCTTTCCTCTGTAAACGTAAAATTAATTGAACATAGGATTGATGATGGTGGGGAATGATGGGCCAGGTATGCTAGTTTGAATAAGTTTTTGTACTTAAAAACTGATATAATTGCTCTTTTGAAGCAGTATGTATGAATAAACGTTGTCACTCTCTTCTAACTAAAAATGTAACACTTTTACCTTATGTTTCATGCAAGAAAGTAGTGATATGATTAAATTTAAACTGTATCAGAGGAATATTTCTGAAGTGTGAAGTGCTTTATGAATTCGAGTTTTATGTATTTTAAATTTGACTATTGCGTTTAATGATAAGATACCAATGTCAAATCGAAGGTATTTTCTGATCTCTTATGCTTCAATTTCATCTTTGAGTTGTAAAAGTTTTAATAAAAACCGTTTAGTAATACTGCATTTTTTCTTTCTTTCTTTATTATAACTTTGTTTTATTTTGTGTAGCAGCCTATCTGGTTGCATATGAACGCCTGTGATTTTCATAAGTAACTTGAAAAATGGTAGCTTTACAAAGTTATCAGCGAAAACACCCTTTTCCAAAGGAGTTCATTAACTGGTATATTTAGTGTTTACCTGTCTATCATCAGCCATCTAGTTCTCCTGCATTCACTTCCTTGGGAGTGTATTACCTTTAAGGAACTCAAATATGCCATGCAGAAGTACTCTAGAAATTTGGCACTATTCATGGATAATGTAAGATCAAACTTTTATTGCAAAGTATTGAATATTGTTCCAAAAGGGATATCTATGCACAAATATAGTATGAAGTCTTCTTTGAGAATAATATTCAGCTGTCGCCCATTATTCATGAAAGTTTAAATAAATAGCTTGATAAAATATGTTTTCAGGATCAGTAGTACATTAATACATTTCCCTTGTTATTTAAAATTGTTCGATTTAACTTTTTTTAAATAAAACATTTAGTATACATTTTCTACAAACTGTGTTTGTATGCTCTTTTCTATAACAATCTTCATGTATTAGGTACATTATAGTAACTTTTTGCCATCTCCGATATTGCTTATAAATTCGTTTTCGCGTGATTTACATCATTTGTTGTTTTATTAATTACCTGAGATATGGCTAATTGGTCGATAGCCAGGCCATTTTTGGTCAATCAAGGTTCTCACGTAATAAGTCTAAATACGCATATGAGTATTACAGGTAATTCCCACCCAACGTTCTCATTTCTCAAGAAGATTTTGGAGGGCTGTAGCAAATCACTCTTTATCAGTACTGCGGATACACTTACGGACAGTCTGTTGAGCAGTTTCTCATTGCCGGGAAATAGTCAACCAAGCATGGTTCTCTAATATTTTATTGACTATTGCACAGCCCGATGCAACAATTCACGCTGTTTTTTCTGTATGTCAAGCTTCTGAGTATCCACTGAGCATAAATTTTGCGCACTTTCAAATCTTCATATTGTATATGGAGTTTCCTTTGCCAATATCCGTTTTATGTTGTTACTCATAGAATGTTAGACTTCGATTTATCAGTATCAAGTTCGACACCTGCTGTACTGCGGCGCGTGTACGTCTCGCTATTGATCTACTCCTGCTCGTTCGTTTCACTATATTTTCATTTCCCATGCTGAAGCTCTTCCAGATAAATACAAAGCTTCATGCTGGAGCTTGCTTACCACATACAGTCGCAAATCTCTGTGAATTGGTGCTGCTGATTGTGCCCATTTCCAGAAAAACTATATAAAAACTGCATACTTCGTTTCTCCATATACTTCTTCATTCATCACTCATCACCTTCTATTGCATCACGTAAACATCTTAGGGCAGAATGTTGAGTACGCACAACACGATCTGACACAAACAACACACCGACGTTCAGCACTTTGTTACACTGAAACAGCAGCACGAGTCTTAATCTTTACGGAATGTACAAATAGATAAACGTAAATATCGTACAAAAACCAACATTAAGCACCTTTATAATTACTACAATTTAATGATTATTGTTCCCGATCATAGGTTAGTTTAAGGGGCCTGAATATTTTAAATTTTGCCAATTTATTTAGATTGATTCCAACTAATATTTTTTGTAAAACATGGATCACAGCGGTACACAGACTGGACATCTGTTGCAATATTTTTAGATTGGAAAGATGTAACTTTTATACCCAAGGTGTTGAAACCAAGATGTACCCCAGGTATTGAAATACTGCATTCAGAAATAATTTTATGATGCTTATCCTTCACAGTTTGAACTACAGACCATTACTGCATGTGAAATTTACACAAAAATATAAAAGAAAGCATTTATTACAGTAGCAGAGCTTTCAAAACTAGAACATTGAGACGGAAAAAAGACAGAAGTAGAAATTAGGTAATAATTCAGTTGGAAGTCTGGTATAAGGTAAAGAAAATTTTCGAAAAAAGACAGTATTTTCTAAAATGTGTGTATTTAAAATTCGACGTCATCATTTTGTTCCACATCATCATTAAATGTTTAAAATCCATATTTACTTCTTACGGAATACTTAAATTATATCGCTAATGTTGGGAAACATAACTTCAAAACATATATTAAAACTTAAAAACACAAATAATAAACAAGGTCCATTTAGTAGTAGTGATCATTGTAGTATTAGATAATTTGGCGAAAAACTGTACCTCTGCCAGCTGCCAGACTTTTTAATTTTATAATATATTTCGCGTTAGTTCTAGAAATGAAGTAAAAGGCGTATTTTTCAAATTAAGGCTGCAAAAGGATTGACTTGCTATAGATGACTACAGTTAAGCCATCCAAAATCTGCATTTGAATTTTTTTTTCTTGCTCCGAAATTCCCTCTCCCTTTGCTTTAGACTACACAATAGTATTGATAAATTAAGATAGCGCGAAATTGGTTTCGTTTACTATTAGCTAGTGTTTATTTTACTGAAGCATTTATTAAGGTATTACAGCTTGTACCTGAAACTGTGCTGCGGGATCGAAAATCGATACCAGTCGCCAAGAAGATTGACGAGACTTGTTACCAACAGGCAAAAAGTTTATTTTCCTGAGACTCACCTTACTTGTCCGAACATACTATAAGCGAAGCTGTTTTTATGTTTTATCAAAAACGAGAAACAAGGCATTAGTGTTTGGCTTATAAATTGCTAGAATAAATTTTCAAAAGTATTGTGTAATGCTCATGCCAAGAACCCATTAACTGCGTGCAGCTGTTTGCGGAGCCTTTTTTAGAGAAACCTCGAGATAAAAGCAGTCGGTGCCTGGCAAAAGAATCGAAATATCCTTGCATGACCATCTTTAATACAACTAGAAAATTTATTGATAGAAATTTATTGCATTTCTTTTAGCATAAAACATTCTCTGCTATTAATCCATTTTGTTTCTATAAAGGGCTGGCGTTGCCTAGCGCTCAAAATAGAGGGTATGTTTATTTTCTCGAGAAAATTCAATTCGGGAAAGTAAATAAAATAAATTGAAGTAGGTTTAATTAAATTGAATCAGCATGGTCAGACATGAAGAGGGTGTAACTTGTTTTTGAAGAATTGTTATGTTATCACAGTATTATCATTGCCTATGTGCACCAAGTGCATTTAAAGTAATAACAATCGTATGAAGAAGCACAAAATGCAGGTATATATAAAACATTTTGTCATAGAATCTGCGGGACAAAAGGAGCTCATAAGCGAGTTAATTTAAATACATAGTTAAGTTCATGTTAAAAGTATTCAATAAAAAAATGATGTACATTGTAATTAATATCCCATAGTGACATATAGTATATTATAAAAATGACTGAAAACTTAAATAAAGAGCGTATTTTTTAAAAGGTATTTTCTAAAAGTGAAAAATGCGTTAGGTAATGACGCAAGGTCCATTTATTTTTCAGACTAGTTACAAATTCAAACTGTGGTTATTATCACACTAAATACTGGTAAAATAAATTTTAATTATCTGTTTCAAATTAAATTTTTTAAAGCCGTTGAATACTGGTAGTTCCATCCGGAGTAGAACCCAGACGAACAAACTGCTGGCTGCATGGTTGTTTTTCCCCGTGTGAATACAAGCCTGTTTCCCTTAGAAAGTCCTCCACGAAGGCATCCTTCTCCTTAAGTGGATAGCTCTCGCGTGCTTTGCTATGTTCAGAAAAATCAAATATTAATTTATTTGGTAAAGTGTTAAGCGATAATTCACGGACTTATAGTTACATTGTAGATTGCAGCGACGTTCATCTGCGCATGCCAAACTGAATATGTACTGCTTTTTTCTGATCTTAGGAAAATGCAAGATTTCTGTCTGTGTGGAATTTTATTACGCTAAGATTGGATAGTCTGGTTTCTCCCTCACTTACCACAAATTTGCGATAAATAAATTGTGATAAAACTAAAGAAACACTTTTGTTTAGTCCACCAGCGGCCGAGCGGTAAAGTAGCTGAACACTGGTAGTTCGGTCCGAGGTTCGAATCCCGCGAACGGGCTGGCTGCATGGGCGTTTTCGTGGTTTTCCCCATGTGTAACGTGTATACGAGCCAGTTTCCCTTAGAAAGTCCTCCACGAAGGCATCCCTCCTCTTAGGCAGATAGCCCTCGAGGCTTTGCCATAATCACACACACACACACACTTTTGTTTAATTCATAAAGTCGACAGATTTTTTGTCCAGGTTACAGCATCTACGTACAGTCATACAGTACTCGCTCTGAATTCACCAAATATTGATTTCTATGTATTCTGCTGCATATCGTAATCTATGAACATAAGCCCTAATTTTATTTTAACTTAATCGTTATGTAAGTCATAGATTTTTACGACTTCCTTTTGAGCACTTAAGTATCTTCCAAGCAATTTTTAACCGAATTACTTTAAGCGACTCATACTTTTAAACAAAACTCAGTGATGAGTTTTAACAAGCCTGAAACAAAAATCTTTAAAAACCAAATCAATCATTTATGTTAAATGCATCTGAAGTTTGTAAACTAAGAGCGATATCTTTAAAATCTTAAATAGTAACAAAAGGTTGTAGAACAGACCGAAAATCAGTTAGGATTCACGAATGATCAGACTCAAAAGTACAAAAACATATCGACAGGTTTATTATCTAAAATTGTTGAAAATTGGCTTCGTTAATTTCGCGCACTAGAGATTCATGCTTTGATAATTTAATGCAGATAGTAATACGCGACCTTTGATGCATAGAGATATTAGGAATAATTTTAATGGAAATAAACTATTCATTAATGCGTCACACTCTAATTCAGATACTTAAAGACGTGAATGCGCATTAAGGATATAAGAATTTGTATTAAAAGTGAGCATTGTGTCGTGCATACAGACGATAGTTTGCCGAGGAAGGTCGAAGACGGAAGAGGCGGTAGCTTGTTAAGGAAGCTTAATCTTGTAGTGGTTAACTGTATTTACTATCAACTACGTTACTGCATAGACGTACAACTTAAGTCTTTTATGTGATTATGTCCTTCGAACTGGTATACCTACACAGGCCTACTTTGCCTTACTTTTATTATTTTATAGCATCTTTTCGCGTTAATTTTCATTAGATTTGTACTATCACAAATGACATAGCCAACCTTTTATCATTTTTATATCCAGAAACAGACGTCCAATCGAAATAAGAAAAAAGTTTTTTAAAGTAGTTTACCATGGAATACCATCCGTTACGTAAACACAAATGCAGATAGAAATGGGCAGAACATCAGAATTTCACCATTGGTCCTACAGGCATAGTCCAACTGCGCTAACTATGCAGCTCTGCCTCAACAGGGGAATTCTTTTAGTACGCCCAGCAATTAAAATGTATTTAAGGAGGAACTAAGCATGACACTGTTCAAGCTGAGTTAACAGCTATTGTCATCCCTATGTTTGTTTGGGGTGACTGGAACCTAACGAAAGAGAAGTTGCATTGACCTAGGAAAAGAGGTTGGTGCCTTCTCTCTTTATAACGGTCGAACTAGATTAAAAAGCTAAAGGCATGTTCAACTTTTACTTCTCTCTGAGATGTGAGAGCCTAACTGAAAATACGGATTAGAAGTGAAAACCATGCTGGGAAATTAAAGGTGAACTTATTCCATAGTCCTCATTAAAACCCGTTGCTATAATTATTCTGACGAAAGAAATTTTAATTTTCTCATTCATGCAGTATGTTTAAGGCAAATGTAAAAACGACAAATAAATCATTGTATTTTTTCCAACTATGTCAATTAAAATGAAAGTCTGTGCCTTAACATCCTGAGGCAGGTTCACACGTCAAAGTTAATAATAATCAGTTCTTACGAAATTAAGTTTTTATTATCATAAAAATACCTAAATCTGTCTCAAGAAGTGTGCTTAGTATAAAGGTCTTTCGAAGGTTTATTTTGCATTACATGGGACAAAAACAGCAACCTAGGACGAAACTACCTCTGTTTGTCGATCGTATCACCTAGGCCTGTTACTGAATCATTACGGGAACTGTATGCCAATTAAGGTTATTTGAGATTATTTTCTCGCTAAGAAAGCGAAACATTCCTCATTTGTGTTTGGGGGGGATATGTTTCGACAGGATTCGCCAAACAACTTTCTGTGGAAAGCTATACTTCGCCAATATTCCCTGCTAGCTATCGTTAAATTAAATGTGTTGCTCTTATCTTTATAATAAAGGTCATGTTTTCAAGGTAAATGTTATCAAAATAAGCATTAAAAAGGTTTTGGTACTTAAACGTATTAGCGTGTTTGGCGAAGTTTGGCGATTTTTTTAGAGACATAAAGATGATTCGATGAATTTTCAGATTGCAACTTACATGATATATGGTTATCTAAAGAACTGTTATGCTTAGCTACTTCTAAAAAGGTGGTTGCGATAATACATAAGTGCCAAGTTTTTAAAGTGTGATTTTCTGTTTCGTTCTTTGTTTATTGAAATAATTAATTTAAGAAACGTATATATTTATAACTCTTTAAGTCGAAAAGAGCTAATGACGAATGTATCAAGTTGGCCCGTATATCTTTCCAGAGAAAATTCTTTGGCGCATACTTGGTAGAGAAAACTGATGTAGTGGCTGTAATGAAAAAAGTCTTTTTTTATTATTCATTATTATTATTTTAAAAAATTACATATATTTCTATATGAAAAAAGAAATCCACGTAATGTCATGTAGCAACCCATATCTGCTTAGAGCACATGCTGAAAATTGCTCTCTTCAGCACGCAAGCACTTGTGAATGCGTAGATTGGCGAAAATATATGTAAATCAGACATCGGTAAGGAATCTCGAAGTTAGGGTACAGTCTGTTTCGTTAAAGTCATGATACGGGTAGACCTAACATTCGTCCATGCTACTTTTTGTAATTTATAATAATTTTCTAACGGTTTTTAGTTTTTGTTTTTGATGACAATCACCGATGTCACAGTAACACACGTTTTCACGCATTTTCACTATCACGTACAAAAGTGCGAGCGCGTTTGAGGCTTCCATTATTAGCATAAGCAGTTGGTAGGTATTATTTTAGAGCAGCGGCGCCCAATATTTTGCTTGCGAGCACAAGTGTGCTCGCCGATAGTTTTGTATGTGCTCGCCAGCCGGATTAGGAACTGTGAACAAAAAATATTTTAAAAATAGCCATTCATTTATATTTCTTAATTGTTAAAATATGTTAAGCATTTATAGTCATAAGACATATCATGGAAGACGTTATAAAATAATTGATTGCTGACTGATGAACTTGGCAGCGAACATGGAATCTTATTGCTTCATTCCGATGTTAGATGGCTCAGCAGGGAAAAAGTACTTCAACGATTTGTAGAACTTCTTTCGCCAATAAAGCAGTTTGTGGAATCCGGAAACGAAAGTTATAAAGAATTGGACGATAATAATTGGTTATCCGATTTGTATTTTCTCAGGGATATAACAGCTAAACTGAAAAAAAAAAAAAACTGAACGAAGATCTCCAGAAAAAAGAAAGAAAAAAAAAAAAAACTTTTTCAATTGACTGGGACTGTAATTGCTTTTCAGGTAAAATTTATGGATACCTCAGATGAAAGAAACAAATTTCACCCATTTTCAGAATTTATCAAGTCGTATTAATAACCACAAGGCAATTGAAACAGAGAAATACTCTGAAAACTTAAATGCACTAAAAAAGATTTTGAACTCCACTTCTCTGGTTTCTATAAAGTTCAACCAATATTTTTATTCATCTCAAACCCATCTGCCGAAATTAATATTTCAGATGTATCACATAAGATTGAAAATATGTTTAACAAAAAGTTGATGTTTTGTAAATGTGCTCGCGAGAGGCCAAAAGTTGGGCACCACTGTTTTAGAGCGTAGAAAGCAAGTTTCTTCGTAGGAAACTTTACAAAAAATTTTAAAAAGACAGAGGAATACTTTGATTTCCTAGGGAGAAATCACCCTGTACAAGATAATCATAAAAGTAAGAAATAACTACATTTCCTTTATTTTTCAATTTAGGGTTCCACAATGATGATTCTCGAAGGACTGCAAGACACGGCTTTATCTTTGTGGGATTGGCAGAATGATACTGAGGTTACTAGAGTAACAGTAAGTACTTGTTTTTCGTACTAAATCATGTAAATTTAAAAGCGGAAGGTTTAATGTAGTTTAAAAGGTTTGATCGATGAAAGTTCAGCCAAAAATTCTTCCCCCACGCAGAAGAAAGAAGGTGCTAGTGCTTCCCATTTAACCAGTGTTTCGCCACTTCCCCCGCCTTATTCGTTCGTTACATTTTTCCGAAGTCTGATTTTAATTTGCTTACATTTTAATTACATTTAACTTTGCTTACATTTGGCGACCGTTTTAAAAATTGATTAACAGGACTAACTTTTACAGAGCAGACTACTTGCCTTTTCTCCGTATCATCATACACGAAATTACTCAGTATATAATACCATTTATATAGATTTGATCGTGTTTTAAAACTATATACTGAAATAAACTCGAACAAAAAAGGCTAAAAATGTTATTCTTTGTAATTTTGATTTAAAAAAGTTTTCGGGCAATCTTTTCATTTGTAAAGAATTGCCAAATTGCACCAAGGTAGTTGTGTGAATACGTAAGTACAGCCAGCCCTTGCAACGAGTAAGAATTAAGTTTTGCTGTTTTTATTTTGTAATTTTCAAATTATGTAATTCCTATGCTTGAAAAGGTGCACTTTAAAGCCAGTTCACACCAACACGATCACGCGTTCGGGCAGAAAGGCGGTGACCAATCAGAAGCGAGCTCAGAGGCGGTATTTTCCCGACAACTGTAGACCGCGCGAGTTGACTCAACTTCAACTTTTCACCGTTTGCCTCTTCAGTTTTATATATCTCTCGTCACAAATGTCCAGTTTATACTACAGTTTTTAAATGAATATACTTTCAAATATTCTTATTTAGGAAAATATAAAGTCAAATGGCCTAATCTTAATAAAAATTTCAGATGATAATTAAAAATGAAGAAGTTAATAGAGTATCTTAATAAATTATTTAAAGAAAAATTATCAAGCTTAATAGGAGTAATAAACTTTAATTATCAGCCATAAATGATGTACGGTTCATAATTTTTCCACGATCATCTAAAGCGATAGATTGTTACGAAAAAATAGTAATGGATTTCGAAATCCCAGATTTTGAATTTTACTTAAAATAAATTTAAGGTTGCTCCTGTTGCCTAATAGATAAAAAGTATGCCTCCCGAGTCAAAGACTGTGGATTCAAGTGTCACCAGAAGCGGTTTTGTAACGGAGTTAGAGTTAAAAAAAATATTAACAGAAAAAAATATCGCTACTTTCAGAGTAGCGCAGATGCTTACTCAAGTTTCCTGAAGGTGAAATCTGTAAACTAACTTTCCTTGCAACACACCTTAGCGCTAAGGAGGAGTGGGAAATTCAGACTATGCTAGTAGAATGCATGTATTGCGGGTATGGGCCTTTTTTTCCCAGGTTCTGATGATACGAATACACCAGTTTTTGTTTTTAGATATACCGCTACTTTTCTTTTGTGCACACGAAGTTTGCATTTATTTTTCATTGACTAGAATCTTAATTTCAGCCTTGTACGCGGCCTTTGGCACAATTCATAATATGATCTGACTGTTCTGATTTGATTCTGTATCGATTGGTGCCAGATTAGCAAAAGTGATACTGCTATTAGTATAAAGTTACCGTTTTACCTAATTTAAAAAATTTAGTGAGTTCTTAATTTTAAAGGAGTTGTGACGAGTAAACCATTTGTTTTAAAAAGCAATAAAACCACTTTTTATACAGAAAGTAACTTTACCAGTATGTAGCTGATTTTATAGAATCCTTCAAGGCATTTTAATTGCTTCATGTATGCTTTCCTAAACATGCATGACCACTTTCCAGTCAACTTATATGAGAATTAAGCTAGAGGTTTAATCTTGATGGTAATTTTTCATTAATTTAAAGACCTGCATGAGATTAGCAAATTAATTAATTGTAGAATGCAATTTTTAAAACAGAGAAAGAAATATTATATAAAACACCTTTGCTCCATTGAGTTTTAGACAAAAGCGACTTCATAAAAAAATTGAAGTAATTACAGTTACATTTAAGGTAAAAATGTATGTCCATAAAGCAAAAACTCTGTTTTAAAGCACTTTAAAATTTCTATTGTTTATTAATTTTTTTAAATAACTGCTTCCTTTTTCCAAACGTGATATTTATTTTAGTAATCCTATAAATCCTACATGCATTTAAACAAAATATAATTTTTATTACATTAATTAAACCAATGATATTAAGAGAAGTTCATATATCGTGCAAAACATTTTATGGTGTTCTACCCCATGAAAAATTCTTTCCCTAAAATAAAAATATGCGATTACGGATTTTTAATTATCATTCAACAAAATTCACAAATAAAGTAAATTAGATATACACTCATGTCCATAAATTAAGGATAATTCAGAATCACGCGAAAATCGAACTCTAAAATAAATACATCACCTTTAAAATCACTACACACATCTTCAAGAATCATATGCAAATTTCAGGAAGTAACTAGATGACACCGATGGTACGTCAGAATGACGAGAGTGTAAGAGAGTGATATATAAGGAATACAGGTAGAGAAGTAAAATTGTTCGCTCTGATTCTCGCCGGACTTTCATATGGAGAGCTCAGGTACCCGTTACCACCAAGAAAACATCATTGAACGACACTGTTACGGTGGTGCAGGAGTGCTCGTTTCGGGTGGAATTATTCTGGGATCCAGAACTGACCTGCGTGTTCAAATTGGAACCATAACAAGCCAAATCTATTGGGACGTCATTCTGGAACAACATGTAGGTTTGTTTAGGGGGGCCCATGGGCGCACAATTTGTGTTTATGGATGACAACGTCCGTCCTCAACGTGCAAACATCGTAAGCGAATGCCTTCAATCGGAGGATATCACCCGTGAATCCAGTAGAGCACGTGTGGGACATGCTTGATCGAGGAGTTGCAGCCCGTCAACCTCCTCCTACATGTTTACCGGAACTTCGGAGAGCATTGCTTTTTGAGTGGTGTAATATCTCCCAAGATCAGATCGATGATTTGATACTCAGCATGCCTAGGCGTTGTACGGACTGTATTGCATCGTCTGGGAGACATACAATGTATTAACAATCATACCAACCATGTAATATTGGTTTTTTGTAAATAGGTTTTTTTTTGTAATTTGCTCCAGGGAGAAAAAATAGCTAAATTTTTTTTTAATAATATCAAACATATAGCATCTTTTTTTGCTCTTTACCTTTTGTTTAGTAAATAAGCTTTACAAATAAGAGAAATTTGTTTTGCTTCTAACTCTTCCTTTGCCTGATTTTGCATTATCCTTAATTTATGGACATGAGTGTATATAACGATCCTTTTTTGGAATATACTGTTCTTATCTTCCAAATAATTCTTTTTTGCGATATTCTAACTAAAATTAGTGTTCTGCTTTTGGATAAATGGTTCAAAGAAGGCTAGAAATTCATTGAACTGATGATGCATCATGCGAAAGTAATTAAAAGATATTTCGATGTCTTTCAAGCGCATTTCTTCAATTAAATTATTAGCATTTCTTTGCTGTAGTCATTTCTCACATATTAAAATAAACCACTGCTTTATGCTTTTCTTACATAAAGTAAGAAAATTATTTTACATAAAGTATTTTATTTTACATACGATATTAAAATTTATTTTACTTTATGTAAATGTAATCTGGCGAAAATACCAGACACGTTTTCTCCCAAGTTTACGATATACAGAGCCATCTAATTTGCACATATGACAACTTTTAAAGCGAAAGTTTCCGCCCTGGTAAAGCGTTTTTTTTTTTTTTTTTTTTTTTTTTTTTTTTTTTTTTTTTTTTTTTTTTTTTTTTTTTTTTTTTTTTCGCTTTTCGCTCCAACGGACCAGTGGGAACGCAGCTTTATCATCCCAAGGTAATACAGGCGAAAACACTCCAGTCATAACCTGCATTAAAACGTACACTCATCTCCTTTTCAAATGGCTAGAAAAATAAGAATCCTCAGTCATTGTTAGGATTCATGTGTCTTGTGCCGATAGTTAGTAAAGATTTGTTGTTTTCTCTCACCCAGTTTTTCACAGGACATGACCGATTCGCGGCGTATGTAAAGCGTATCAAATTATAAGATACGGATTTTTGCAGTTGTGACAGGAATGATGATTCTGACTATCGCTTCTTCGACTGCCCATTTACTCCTCGTGTTCATATTGGAAATGAGCATGTATACTTGAACTGGTCATGTACTTCCCACTTTCGTCTTCATAGAATGAACCAAGAAACATAAAAAACTGAAATTTTAATATATTTTGCATGCACTTTTGCGCATTTCAAAGGAATATTATTATTATTATAAAATCATGTGAATATGCACTTGAAATTGATAAAAAATCTTTCATAACATTTGTAGCACAATGTTGTGTCTGTCCATTAAATTCAGTAGCTTAGTTATCAGATCAATAGTTTTATTCCTGAAAATTAACGTTTTGACCTTAACCGCAGAACAAATCGAAACTACTTCCTTAATTAGATATAATTCAGATGCAAGGTATGCTAAGTTATTCAGGAAGAAAAACAACCTTAATAGTAATAAAAATAAACAGAAGCATAGCATGCCAACAAAATGTTAGTAATTGGCAAAATTCTGCATTTGCTCTGTGTTAATACAAGTTAAAATTATTCAGTGCATTTTGTGAGACAGAACAACGGTACCTCATGTTCAGAAGCAAATAGTTCTGCATATGCTCTTTGAATGACTTATTTAACTACACTGATGTGCAAAAATTAAGGACGAAGTCGAAAAATTAGCATATCAGCTGAACGAAGAGGCAGAGCGGACAGAAAGACCAATCAGGACATTAAGTAAGGTGATGTACGGTAGCACATGCGCAGATATGCAGGTAGACGTAATGGGGGAGTGTCTGAGTAGTATAAAGCATGTTGTTGGTGTAAGATCAGTATTTCTGGCAAAGAGATTGCACGCCGTATATCAGTTAAAATCACACCAAGTTGCTGCCTCAGCGAGAAATGGCGAATAATCAATATGT